GCTAGTCATAGTACTCATTTATAAAATATTATCTATGTCAAAATTAAAAAAATGACTGGTTTTTATGGAACCAGTTGATTAGAACAAAAGTAATATATGTAAACTTCAAGATAATTTAATGAAAAATTTATCTAAGAAAATCTTCCAAAGACATAAATTTCAAGTTAAGAGTCAAAATAAGGGCCTGGTGTGATGGTGCACACCTTTGATCCCAGGACTCGGGAGGCAGAGGCAGACGATCTCTGTGAGTTCAAGGTCAGCCTGGTCTACATGGTGAGTTCCAGACCATCTGGAGCTACAGAGAGACCCTGTCTCAAAAAGACAGAAAAAAAAAAAGAAGAAGAAAAGAAACAGAGTCAAAATAAATGTTGTTTGCTAAGTATTAAAATAGCTGTGTGAGATGGCTCATGCCTGTAATCCTAGCACTGTGGAGGTTTTAGGCCAGTGTGAGCTAAGCAGTGAGTTCCAACACAGCTTTAGCTACAGGGTAAAACCTTGTCTCAAAAAAAAAAAAAAAAAAAAAAAAAAAAAAAGGGAGGAGGAGGAGGGAAGAAAGGAGAGAACTTTTTACAGGAAAATGCATGTTAAGACCTACTTGGGGGCTGGAGAGATGACTCAGAGGTTAAGAGCACATACTTGCTATTCCAAACGACCTGATTTCAATTCCCTGCAACCACACTGGGTGGCTGACAACCATCCATAACTCCAGCTCATGGAGGATCTGATTCCTCTGGCTTCCTCTGACACCTGTATTTACATGTACATACCCACATACATGCATGCACATACCCACATACATGCATGCACATATAGACATGGTTTAAAATAATATTTTTTAATTAAAAAGTGTACATGTATGAGTGTTTTGCCTGCATGTATGTAAGTGTATCACATGCATGCAGTGTCCAAGGAGGGCAGAATAGAGTGTCAGTTGGAAATGGAGTTAGCTAACATGTAGGTGCTGGGAAATGAACCAGGGTCCTCTACAAGAGCTGAAAGTACTCTTAATTGTTGAACCATTTCTCCAGCCCCAGAAATAAATCTTAAAAAAGAAGACTTACTTGGGCTTGAGTATATAATTCTAAAATATTTGTGACATTAAAAATTACAGAGAAAGAGGGAGAGAAGTCATCAATGGTGATTACACAGTAGTGAACCCTGAATGCTACAATATCCACCTGCTAGGCAAGATATGCCCACTGGTGCAATGGTGGCATGAAGGTTATGGGAGCAACAAATCTTTCTGATTTGCTCTCAGGCCTCCTCCACAGGAGGGAATTCATGCATAGTACAGGAAACTTGGGCAAAAGGACATAGTTCCAGAGGTCATAGGCCCTAGGGAGACCCCACTACTGTTGTTTTGTTCAGTGGGCATGTTTCCAAACTGCCTTGTAACTATTTGTGTATATACCCATAGCTTAGTGCTGCTCTCAACATGGGTCAGAGAAGCTTCTGCAGTGCGCAGCAGTTAAAGGAGAAACTGATAACTTGTCAAAGTGAGGAGAGTAAGTGACTGTTAAGTACTCAGCCATACTATACCAACACCTCCCTCTCCCCTCAAAAAACGGCTCAGGGAACATCATGGAGGATGAGGTGGAAGAACGTAAGAGCTGGAGGATGGGGAGGAGTGCTTATGAAACGCTGTCTTCTCGACATGACATGACTGGTGCACTCATGACCTCACTGCAGCTATGGTCACCTGCTCAAGATTAAGCCAACAGTCTTGTTAACAGCAGGAAGCACTAACTGGACTCAGTGGGTTGCAAAAAAAAGAAAAAGAAAAAAAAGAGAGGACATGAAGATGGGAGGTGGACACTTTGAGAGGTAGGTGTCTCTGGGTAATAGGAAGGGAAATTGGGGAGAGGGAGGTGATTAAGATACATTGTATACATGTATGAGGTTGTCAAAGAATAAACAGAATATTTAAAAAAATGTAAAGAAGGGCCGGGTGTGGTGGTGCATGTCTTTAATCCCAGCACTTGAGAGGCAGAGGCAGGCAGATTGTGAGTTCAAGGCCAGCCTGGTCTACATAGTGAGTTTCAGGACAGCTGGGGCTACAGGGAAACCCTGTCTCAAAAAGACCCCAAAAAAAAAAAAATGTATAGAGAGGAGCCAGGCATGGTAGCAATGCCTGTAATTCTAGCACTTTGAAGGAAGAGGCAAGAGAATCAGGAGTTCAAGGAGAACCTTAGCTACACCGTAAGTTAAAAAGGCTAGCCTGGCAAATAAACACCTTCTTAATATTATCTTTCAATTTATGACCATGACACAACTTTCCATATGGAATGTTCTTTTTAAATTTCACTATTTTATGCTCTTAATTATATAGGTCTTCCACATATTTCAATAAAAAAGTATAGGGTAAACACAGTGTTTAGTGTTTACGAAAATATTTTCAATGATATTTTCATGTTGACCTCAATTTTTTCCCCCTCAGCTTTACTAAGACACAACTAACAAATAAAAATTATATGTATTAAAGAAAAAAAAAGGCTAGCCTGGGATATATGAGATTCTAATCTCAGAAAAAAAATTTTTTTTTTTTGCTCTTTTTGAGGCAGGGTCTCCCTGTAGCCCCAGCTGTCCTGAAACTCACTATGTAGACCAGGCTGGCCTTGAACTCACAGAGCTCCGTCTGTCTCTGCCTCCCGAGTGCTGGGATTAAAGGCATGTGCCACCACAACTGGCTGGCTTCAGAAAACTTTGGAAAAAGAGATTTTATTGTTTTTATTTTACATATATGAGTGTGTTGCTGGCATGTATGTAAGTGCACCCATGTAGGGCAATGCCCGAGGAGGCCAGAAGAAGGTATCAGATCCCCTCCAACTGAAGTTACAGTTATCAGTCACTGTGTGGGTGCTTGGAACCAAACCCATGTTCTCAGCAAGAGCTGCCAGTGCTCTTAACTGCCTAGCCATCTCTCCAGCCCCACCAGAAAACTTAAAAAAAAAACAAATTTATTTATTATTTTTATTTTATGTGTATGAGTGTTTTGCCTGCATGTAGGTAAGTGCACTTGTATCATGCAATGCCCATGGAGGACAGAAGAGGCTGTTGAATCCCCTGGAACTGGAGTTACGGACAGTTGTTAGCTGCCATGTGGGTGATGGGATTTGAACCCAGGTCTTCTGCAAGAACAGTGTTCTTAACTGTGGACGCATCTCTCCAGCCCCAGAAAACTTTTTTTTTTAATTGTGGAAAATATTTAATTCACACTTGATACTATTTCGTAAACTAGTAAGTCTTTGGAAGTTATGAAAATAATGGAATGAGAAAGTAAAATATGCTTAGGAATTAATGTTAAAATAAAAAAATGTAATTCAGAGCCAAGCATGGTGGTGCACGTCTTTAATCCCAGCACTCGGGAGGCAGAGGCAGGCAGATCTCTGTGAGTTCAAGGCCAGCCTGGTCTACATAGTGAGTTCCAGGACAGCTGGGGCTACAGGGAGATCCTGTCTCAAAAAGACAGAAAAAAAAAAAAAAGTATTTGATAGATGGCTCAGCATATGAACTCTGGTTGTTCTTGCAGAAAACCTAGGTTTGAATCCCAGCGCCCATATGGCAGCTAACAACTGTCTTAGCTCCAGTTCCAGGGGATCCGATGCCCTCTTCTGACCTTAGTGGACATTGCACAACATGGGTATACTTACATACATACACACATACACATAAAATAAAAATAATAAATAAAATATTTTTTAAAAACTATTTTAAAAATGTAATTCTATTTCTGAGTTAGTGCTGTATCTTGAAGAAACCAAAATGTAGATCTCAAATAAAAATGTAAGCTGGGCATGGTGGCACACACCTTTAATCCCAGCACTCAGGAGGCAGAGGCAGGCAGATCTCTGTGAGTTCAAGGCCAGCCTGGTCTACACAGTGAGTTTCAGGACAGCTGGGGCTACAGGGAGACCATTTCAAAAAGACAAAAAAAAAAAAATGTATTGAACAGTGACAGGAATATTTAACAGACAGTATTTCTTCATTTATCTATTCTAATATTACTTATCATTAACGGTCTCATATCACAGTTTTCTTTTATTGCTGTGATAAAACTTGGGGGAAAAAAAGGTTTATTGCATCTTATACTTCCAAATCACAGTCCATCTTTGAGGGAAGTCAGGCAGAAACTCAGGGCATGAACCTGGAGGCAGGAACTAAAGAACTGAGCACAGTGCTCAACTGGCCTGTGCTCAACCTGCTTTCTTATATAACCCAAGGAACATCTGCCCAAGGGTGGCAACACCCACAGTGGACTTGGTCCTCCCACATCACTCAACAATGAAGAAAATGCCTCATAGACAGGCCCCCAGGCCAATCCGACAGAGGAAATTTCTCAGTGAAGAGTTCCTCTTCTCAGGTGTGTCAAGTTGGAAACTGAAGCTAACCCTGACAGCTCAGGGCCAATATTAATAACAATCAATAAAGGAGCCATGCAATTTTCGCTTACAACTGACTTAGGACTGGGAAGAAAAAGGGCTTGAAGCAGCAGTGCTAAAGAACAAGAAATAGACATGGAGCTTAAAGGAGCCTAAGAGATTAAATAAGGAGCTTCACATATACCAATAATTGACAACCTTAAGTAATAAAAAAAAAGTCAACAATGTTCTGAGAAGCAGAAATATACAGAAGGTCTGAGGAGGTCAGAGGTGGGCGTCCCTGGAGGTACAGGTGGCTATGAGCCACATGACGTGGCTGCTAGGAATCAAACTTGGGTCCTCTGCAAGAACAGCAAGTACTCTTATCCATCCCCAATAGTTTGGCCTTTTGAGGACCCACATTTCAAAGTATACCCATGGCTCTGAGGCAACAATACATTTTGGATCACTAATGTTAATACTGACCTATGTTTCAAACACACAAATACATTCTCGTTTGTGCTTCCCCCTGCTATACATATAACCATATAGTCATATGGGAAAACAGACAGGTAGTAAACAAAGAGCAGAAGGCATTAAACATTAGTTGTGTACTTTTAGAAATGGCTTCAAAGTACTTACTTCATCAGCCACCATACACCTGGAAAAAAATAAAAACAAAACAAATTAATTTCTTAATTATCAAAGCCAATGATCCTAAGAGTTCTGATTAAGCAACTTTCCACCAAAATTTTTTTTTTCAAAAGGGAATAAGAGATAAGTTTATTCTGGAGCCAAATATGAGTGACTATGGCCTGGGAACACAGATTCAGGGTATTCCAAATTCCACGTTCCTGTGTGGTAACAGTTGCCTTACATTTTTATAGTAACGGAACAAAGAAAAGTCATAAATCAAGACACTTTTCAAATACATTGGTGGATACATTCAGCAGGCAGGTCATAGCAAAGCAGGGGGGTTCTATTATAGGTCTCAGATACTATCTGATGACATTCTTAGCTTTTTGATTGGTGAGACTTGGTGGTCTGCTAAGTTAATACAGCTTATTAGTCATAAGAATGTTAATTCAGGGCTGGAGAGATGGCTCAGTGGTTAAGAACACTGGTTGTTCCTGCAGAAGACCTGGGTTCGAATCCCAGAACCCACATGCCAGCTAACAACTGTCTGTAACTGCAGTTCCAGGGGGATCCAATAGCCTCTTCTGACATCCGTGGGCATTGCACAACACAGGTGCACTTACCTACATGCAGGCATAACACTCATACACATAAAATAAAAATAATAAAATATTAAAAAAAAGAATGTTAATTCAGAAACAGAGGTAGACAATGTTTGGCTATTTATTGTGTTAAAGATATCCCCAGATAATCTGTGAATAGGCTCTGAATCTGCAACATTCCAGACTCCACAATCTCCAGAGTGATAATCAATTGGTGAGTATTGTAGGAAATTCAGTCCAAGGTGCAGTGCAGGAGTTCTTTCTAGGAACTTTCTTTCAAAGTTCCCTCCCCCTGTTGGCCAAGCATCACATTTTGTGCATGCAAGGGCCACATATTATTTATTCCCAAGTCGTTTTACAAAGGCTCCTTCCTAGAATCTGATGTAGATGAGGCTCAGTTGTAGGCAAGATAGCAGTCTTCAGAAGAGAGGAATAGTTAGCTGGTAGAGCCAATAAGAAAGAAACTCCTGGATCGTATCAAAACTATTAGCCAGCATGATCCAGATTTTACTTTTCTTGTCATCTGTATCTGTAGCTGTATCTGTCTCTGTCTCTGTAACTGTCTCTGTCTCTGTCTCTGTAACTGTATCTGTATCTGTATCTGTATGTGACATATAATAGGATGCCTATACTTAAAATAACCAAGGACAGGGGCCGGGCGTGGTGGCGCACACCTTTAACCCCAGCACTCGGGAGGCAGAGGCAGGCGGATCTCTGTGAGTTCAAGGCCAGCCTGGGGCTACAGGGAGACCCTGTCTCAAAAAGACAAAAAAAAAAAAAAAAAAAAAAAAAACAACAAACCCAAGGACATTGCTTGGCCTAATAACTATAACAGATTAAGGCAATAAACATCAAAATAAAAATGAAATTCACTATGTTTCCCCATGTATTTACAGTTACCTGTACTCTATAAACTATTTTGTTTATATTTGGAACATCTAAACAAATCCATTGTTTTCTAATGTTTAGTTTTTCTTTGGATAAGTTAGACCTTGGATAGCTATAACCTCATGGAGTGGCTAGGTCTAACTCTAGTAGTTCTTATCTGTGGATAATGACTTCATCTGTTTTATTATATTAGCATCATACCAGATTTAATTTGAAAAAAAAATAAATGAAACATAAAATTACACAATACAGTATTCTTTAAACTTTCTTGTAACAAGAATATCTTCATTTACTTAACAAATATTGATAACATTAATAGAAACAAGATATCGAACCTGTTAGGAAATCAGAATTCTACAGACCTTAAAGGCTTAACCAACTGCTTTTTCCACTAAATACCTTAAACGCTAAAGGATTAAGTCAGAGAGAGGTGTCTCTAAGTGTGCATGAGAACACAGGCCAGAGATGATTTCACTAGAATCTCCTGCTGTTGATGATGTATGTCTGTGTGGGAGGGGAGGGCCAGTGCTTCAGATAAGCTATCTGCACTGCCCACCATGGAGGGAGATGCAATGTTCCTTCAGGACAGAAGAAAAGGGTGAAAAATCATAACAATGCCCTCTACCTTCATCCTTAAACTTTAAGGCAAACCATTCCTAGAGATAAGAAGAATGCTGCATTAAAGTACAGAAAAATGAGTTTTATTTTGTTTTATTTCTGTTGCTGTGATAAAATACTTATGACAAAAAAAAAAAAAACTAGTGGGGGAAAGGATTAAATTTAGCTCACAGCCCTAGGCTATAGTCCATCATAGCAGAGCAGTAAAGGTGACAGGAACTTAGAAGAGCTGGTCACAACACATCCATAATCAAGAAACATAAATGCATGCATGCTTCCCACTCTGCTAGCTCTCTCCACCCTTATACAGTCTAGGGCCTCACACCAGGGAATGGTGCCACCAACATTCAGACTGGGTCCTGTCACATCAATTAAAGCAATGAAGACAAAACCCATAAACACGCGCACAGCCAACCTAATCTAGACTCACTGAGACTCTTCCCAGGAGATTCTAGGTGTGTCAAGAAGACAATTAAAACTAACCATCAAAATGAATATCAACCACATTTTGGTACATATAAGACATCTAATTTTATGTGCCACCTCTAAGTATGAGTACTATCTATAGTAATTCTGTTGTCAAGGCGAATTTGATTTGTATTAGCTTGTTAAATTTTCTCTGCTCTATTCATTTTTTTCAATGTGTGTGTGCACATGCTTGTGTGCCCCTGTATATGGAGGTCAGAGGTCAAGGTCTTTCCAATCTCATGTCTTTTGAGACAGAGTCTGAAACTGAAGCTCATGCATTTGGTTAGGTTAGCTGGCCATGGAGTTCCAGGGAGGTCACCTGTTTCCACGTCCTTGGTGCTAGGATTAGACAACATCCCATCCCATGCAGCTTTTTATATGGGTGCTGGGTATCTGATCTCAGGTTCTCATGCTGTGTGTGGTAAGCACTCTACCAACTAAGCTATCTCTGTTGTATTCCTTATTAATTTCCAGAAGTAAATTTATCTAGTGAGACGTGAGGATAGGGCTTATAAACTGAGGTTCTAAGTAGAAGAAAAAAGAACAGCAAGCATGCTCAGGATAATCAGTGGTTCCTTCGAAACAACAAGCACATGAGGAAAACAAAAAAAAACTCAACTGAAAAAATTAAAGTACAAATACTGTAATAGAAACTTAAAAATAGATGAAAGAATAAAAAGGTTTACTATATTCTTTGTTGAAAAGACCAGAAAGTAGAAAACCAGGAAACGATGGAAAACATGGTATTTTTTCCCCAGGAAGATTAGGTGAATAAACTTTTTACTTTTAAAATCCAAGTCAAGGACTGGGGAGATAGCTCAGTGGGTCAAGTGCTTGCTATGCAAGCATGAAGATCTGAGTTCAATCTACAGAACCTATGTACAAGCTCAGCATGGTGGTGCTCACCTGTAATCCCAGCACAGGGGAGACTGAGGTGGGTAGATCCTTGGGGCTCACTGGCCAGCCTGTTTAGCCAAACTGGGGAGTTCCAGGTTCAGTGAGAGACACTGTCTCAAAAACAATGTCCAAGAAGGAAAATAGCCAAAGTCATTCTCTGAGTTACACACACACGCTCAGGTGAGTGAAAACCCCCACTCCTACACAAGTAAAAAAGTAAAATTTAAGTCAAATTGATTAAAGATGTCACCTGACATATATATTATTTATTCAGGGCCCACTGTGTAGCTAGCACAGCAATGAATTTAAGAGCCTTTCACTTAGGTACAGTGACTGCAAGCAAAAGAAAATTAAAAAAATGATTCAAGGGATGTTAAATGTTATCCAAAATATTTTATTTATTATTTTTATTTTTTATGTGTATGAGTATATTGCCTGCATGTGTGTAAGTGCACCTGTGTTGTGGAGATCAGAAGAGGGACTCCCCCGAAACTGGAGCTACTAACAGTTGTTAGCTGTCATGTGGGCACTGGGAATTGAACTTGGTTCCTTTGCAAGAGCAGCCAGTGTTCTTAACCACTAAACCAGCTCTCCAGCCCTCTAAATACTATTTAAAAATTAAAACAGCTGGGCATGGTGGCGCATGCCTGTAGTCCCAGCACTTGGGAGGCAGAGGCAGGCGGATCTCTGTGAGTTCAAGGCCAGCCTGGTCTACATAGTGAGTTCCAGGACAGCTGGGGCTACCGTGAGACCCTGTCTCAAAAAGACGAAAAACAAAAAAATAAAAATAAAAGTAGGTAAGGAATAATAGAAAATAGAGAATGAAGGGGAGGAAGGAACTATAAATTTGATTAAACAGATATTTAATGAGAAAGAGTCATGAAAAAATCTGGAGGAAGAATATTTTCAACAAAGGGCCCAATACGTTCAAAGGCCCTATGCAGAAAAAAAAAAACTGACCATGAGAGGCACCATATTTGAACGAGGTCAGTAGGACTAAAAAAATATGAATATATCTAGAGAAAAAGAAGCACAAGAAAATAAAAATACATAAAACTTAAGACAATTCAAGTACATTTCAAACGCACAGACACACATACACACTTCCAAAAGCTCAAAAATCATGATTTTCAAACCAAATGAGATGAACTGCTTTTTCATAGAAGTCTTTTATCATTGTGCATCATCAAAATAGCACAAGTTTGTATTGGTGTGATACTCCAGGGCCTTGTTTCCGGATCTGGGTAACTTGGGCCTTACTCGTGGCCTACTGCACTGTTTCTTTTTCAGAAATATAAATACCATCCAAAAGTTTTCTGATATCATTGTTTTTAACTGTTGTGGCTTTCTCAGTAAAAGCAGCTGAATCTGAAGCAAGTTTAATATAATTTCTTTTAAGGACTTGACAGACTGAACAAGCAACACCTATCCTCATCTGAACCCTGTGGATGCATTTTTCATCAAAGAAATTTCAGATTCCAAGAAGAAATTGATTGTCCTGAATGGTGATGATGACAAGGAAGAGAGCGGATACAGACTTCATCTTGTGACA